TGCACTGGTGCTTGGAGTTGACGACCACGTTGCGCCGAGCCAAGCCGCGCCATGATCCCTTTGTCTCCGCTGTCGCCATGGCCGGCGGGACCGTCTTTCAAAATCACCGTGCTGGCAGTACCGTGCTTCAATTGATCTTGTCCTCAGCTCCGTTAGGTATCTGGCCACCCAACCAACCCCACTGCGCTGCAGTTATCGCCGCACAGTGCTTCAATTCCAAATCGCCGCGCCGCCGGGTCCTTAAGACCGGACGGGTGCACGCTAAGGGCAAGCCAACCATTCCGAGCACCCAGTAGCGATTCATTGCACCCACAGCTTAGTCTTACCCTACTGAGCACACCGCGCACCTCAGTCGTAGCTTTACGGCAGCCCCGCCTTCCACGACGTGGCCGTGCCATCGCCGGGCGCCGTCGTATCGTCGGTGCGCACGTAGCCAACTCAGCTCGGGCCTTCTCCGGCCAGACCGACACCTCAAAGGTCTTCGTAGATAGTTCCTCGAGCTCGCTAGCTATTTGGTTTGCTCCGCTTTCGCTGTGGCTCACGGGAACATACCCGCCATCGTAGGTCAAGGACCACTGCCGGGGAGGGAGCCCGGGACGATGCCCCTGTTTGTCGTATCGCTTCCAACCGCTGCGTGTTGTCGTGGAGGTAACCATCGGTCCCTTAGCTAGGCCATGGAGACTCGGGTGACGCCGGCGTGGCCGCCCGGTGCCCGCGCCGTCGCGCCAGTGCGCGCACGGGTGCCGGGGATGTCACCGCGGCGAAGAAGAAGAAAGGGGAGGGCGTAGTTGTAAAACCATAGACTAGAGGAATAGTGCCTTAGAGACCGCAGTAAATACCAAGTAGTTCGAGGGCATTTTTGTATGTTGCCGTCGCGCGCAGGTCTCTCTCTTGTCGTGGGCCGTTGGCCGGCTAGGCCGCGCCCGCGCGTCACGCCGTTGCGGGCCGAGCCGCGCGTGTTGGGCCACGAGCTAGGATTCGGTTTCTTAATTTCCAAAAGAATAGAAATGCTTATTCAAATTAGTTTTCAAGCTGAACTTTAAGAATTTGTACTAAATTGTGTAGTGGTCCAAAAATAGTGAGACTAATTTTGTTAGGTTCGCAAAAATATCGTCTATTTGTTAGTACAGTTTGATTGCAGTTAGTTGTGGCAAGTATTGGGTCTTAAGTTCAAAACTAGAAAGCTAATATTAGATGGATTAATAATTGTAGGAATATTTGTGGAAGATTGGTGATAGTTATGGATATAAAAATTTTGCAGTAAGCTCACTAGGTTATTATGTACTTACTGTAAATGTTGTAGCCTTACGATGCGTTGCTAAATAGAGTAGCTACTACCCTTGCTTCATTGTATGTAGCGTAAAAATTAGCTTTAGGGATAAGAACACCTGTAGTTGCTATAGTAGCAATGAATGTCGTATTTCAAACTTATCGGTAACCATAGATAGCTTAGCACCGTGGTCGGTATCACTAGCTTAGGAGTTAAATCGCTGTATTTTTATTTTAAAAATTTCTATTGTCATATTATTAAACATTGCATTGTCATTTCATGTAGATCACGAGCTAGTAGAATTTGTGCCTGTCGATGAACCGGAGTACAACGAGGTGATCGAGAAGTACGAGGAGGAGATCCTCGTGCAGGAGGAAGCCCAGGAGCCTGTTGGTGCTGACCTTACTGACCCGTCGCCTGCCCAAGGCAAGCCCCGGTGCATAACCCCTATTTTTAATGATCACTGAATATCTGTATGTTGTGCATTTACATTACAGGCAATTCATGGAAACTACATGCATAAATATATCTACCCACGAGTTCTACTAGTACAGGCCGAGTAGCTGCTATGCTCAGAATATCGGTAGCGTGAGTAACCTGCCGTTACACGCACATAGGTGATAAAATATGATCACTCATGATAAAATGATAAAAGGGTAAATGGTGACCGGGCAGGGATATAGTTTTGGTATTGGTGGGTGTAAAGGGTTATGTCCTGCGACCAATAGATAGCTCGGTTACACTTTTGTCCTGTCTGTGTCGATTAAGGACCGGTCGTTGTATGAGACATCGTGGGCAAGTCACAGATTTATTGTTCCGAGCGCATACTTGGGTATGGACGCATGGAAGACTTGTTGCTCTCTTGTCGTAGATCTGGCTCTTTTCGGACCGACTGATTGGGGGCAGGGATGGTAGAGGTCCTTGCACCACACTGAGTCTGGAACTCAGGAGTGGGGCTTGGAGTCCAAATTTGGACGGGGACCTGGACATCCGGGACAGGAGAGTGATGGGTTAGTCCTACTTGTGCTAGGGTACAAGCGGGGCATGTGTTTTCGGGGCACCCAACTGGGCACATTGATTCGCGAATCACTGGGCGATCCGGTACGGCTTGTCTCGTGTTTAGCATCGTAGTAAGAACTGAAAGTTGAAAGGAGAAAAAATAGAACTGATTGCTTAACTTTTGCTTGAAAGTAGAACATGTGCTTATATAGACTGGCTAGATGATAACTTAATAATACGGTGATAATAATACATAACTAAGGACTCACTATTAGTATTGCTTTCTGCCACAATCCTTCTCTCGAAATATATATTCTAACTTTTACTTTTGGCTCAACCTAAGGTGTTTAACAAATTTTAGAGAACATGGAATGCCAATGTCAATGACGATGAATTCCGGACTTAGAATTATTTAGAGCCCAGAAACAACAGTTGATTCCATCATGAGTCCTCTGTTTGAGCCACTTAGGAGTTGAATCAGGTCTTAGTCAAAAAATAAAGTTTGTTGTACTCCACTCAAACTTTAACTTTTATTTAAGGTCGAACTCCATGCAAGCACTCCAGACAGTTAGTCAACATAGGTCAAAACCATATCATGAAAATGACAATTTTAGCTATTCCCACACTTAGAAATATTTTCTTGACATTTGCTCAACATGAATCCTTCATGATTTTTGTTGTAGAGTTCAATTAGAGATATTTGGACAAGGTAGCAAGGTTTGATCGACGTCCCATGTTCCTATTCACCTGATGAAGCAATTTAAGAAAGGTTATAACTTATCATTTCATGTGACATTTTGATTCTAAACTTCATGAAACTTTTTCATTGATCAAGATAGATGCATGTTGATGTAATGTATATGAAATAAGAATGTTTAACATTACTCTTGCCTAATCTTAACCAGGGTCCACATGTAAGCAAAGGTGCGTTGTCCAAGTTCAAGTTGGGACTCAATTTCATAGATTGCACCTCGACACATTTATCATCGCTTCAAAATTATGAACTAGAGATCATAATCATTGCTTGACATATCCTACTTAAGTCCAACTTCACTGCTCAACTCGTGACTAACACCTGGGGTGTTACAGTATGCTCAGGACATGATTGTTGTGTTGCTTCTATATAGCTATCCTCTTGTGTTCTTTATGGTGCACCATTTTTCAAAGTTCCAGCTAGTTTATGAAAAGTAAAAAAAGAGCACGTGGCACCACATCAGATGTCACCTAGGTGGCAGAGTCCTATGTGGCCTGATTTGGATGGCGGCTAGGACGTGGATAAAGTTTATGGGCTCGGATGAGAAAAAAATCATAGACCTAGGTGACAACGCACGACACAATTCACTCTTTTCTAATAAAGTCCTCTAGAAAAGAGAACCGGTCCTCTAAAACTCCCATGGAATGCCTTGTTTCATAGAAAATTGGAGAAATTCTATCACAATGCTAAGGCCCTGTTCGCTTGAACCACTTCAGCAGTACTTAACATTGTTTCTCTCTCACAATAAATTAGTATAAGCTAAATTTCAGCGAAACGGACATGGCCTTATTTCGTAGTTGTATCAGCTCCTCCTATCCAATCTCTGTCCTTTTTTTGCACTTCATCCAGGCATTCAATCTTACAATATTTTTGTGTATATAATCCATAGTACGATCTAACATGTTACAGTACAACATTATATTTCCATACGCTCTTTTTATATTTTTTGATTTTGGAATTGGAAGTTCAAAGAGACGTGTATACATAGATCTAGTCCGAAAGACATGCTCAATTCTAGCTTAGCCCAAACCGCCGCTAGGGTTCGTCGCTATCTGAGGAAGGGGAACGGGGACGAGGAGAAAGTGAGAAGAGAGAGAAAGTGCCACTTAAGAAACGAGAGAGCGAGTGGGACGTATCTTATGTAGACAGTGGAGAGATGAAATTGTAATGCTCTTAGGAGGTGTTTGGTTTCTTAGATCAGATTTTAGTTCCTGTCCCATCGAATGTTTGACACATGCATAAAGTATTAAATATAGATTAAAAAAATAACTAATTACACAGATTGCGACTAATTTGCGAGACGAATTTTTTAAATCTAGTTAGTCCATGATTTGATAATGTGGTGCTACAGTAAATATGTGCTAATGATGGATTAATTAGACTTAATAGATTCATCTCGTAAATTAGTCTACTCTTGTGTAATTAATTTTTTAATTAGCTCATATTTAGTCATTCTAGTTAACATCAAATATCCGCCTGGACATTTGGTTGGGAGAGGTCTTGATTTGAAATTTGGATGATCTTTGGTTTTTGTAAGAGAAAAAATCATTCTTCGATCGATTTGATGGTTAAACAAATTGTAACTAAACTTTAGTCAGTGGATCAAACACCCCATGAATTGTAACGACGTTTACGAAAAGATCGACGATCCAAATATCCCAATCTATTTTGCCCTCCGCTGTTATATCGACGGCTCGACGCCCACCATTACCACATCACCGTCTTCCCGTCTCTCCCATCTCCTCCTCGCTCGGCTGCTTGCCTAGGGTTTCGCCTGCTCCCGCCCCGCGCCTCCAGCCGTCGCTTCAGATCCCGCTGCTGCCGGCACTCGATCCTCCTTCGTTGCTCCTCGCTGATCCCGCTGAGCTCCGATTTGCGCCCTTCCTCCCCGCCGGAACAGCGTCCGGACGCGCGGGGGCAGATCTGGGTTGTGGTGGCCGGCTTGGTGTATGAGAAGGCCTCTAGAGCTTGGGAGTAATGGAGGTGGAGCCGGCGAGGAGGGACGCGGCAGCGCTGGACCCGGAGCTGCTGCAGCTGGCGGAGCTCGCGCCGGGCGCGCTTCGCGAGAACTCCATAATAGCTGACGCGCTCTACTCGCAGTGGCTCGTGCTACCCGAGACGACCAAGCTGGTATCCCTTCAACGCGCCCTCTCGCCTTCCTCGCTTGCTGCTTTGCTTTGTGCTTAAATTTGTCTGGACTCTGATCTTATGCTCAGACAAGTTAGAAACATCGTTGGAACGTTTTGGTTGGCGTCCTTTGTGCTGCGGCGCGTACTGGTTAGGTTGTTACTTCGTATATCGCATTTACGAGCTTGTGACTTCGATGAAGTATGATGATGGAGTTTGGTAGGCCAAAGTGCAGGGTTCATTTAGTGGCTTGGTTTGTCTTTGTTCGTACTTATGTTTCTTTGTCTATGATCTTGTTCTTGGAAACTCGCCAATGTAAATTTCAGTGTAATTGGGCAGCATGGATATAGCATTTGTCTCTGCTTCCTGTGATTATCTGGTAGTCTGTGTGCAAGGGTTGGCTTTGATTATTTTAAACTTTGCAGTCCCAAGATGTTACGTCTGTAGTTTAGTGAGCCTGGAAGGTTGGGGTGCCCTTTCTTAGTTAAATATTTGATCTGAATTGTTAGTTTGTCGATTTAAGTGACAACCATAGAAGACTGCTTAAAATGCATATACAGTTCGTGTAAAGGATTCATGTTGCTAAACAGTTTTTTTTCCTCATGCTGTTGTGCTTGTCGGACAGTTCTATTATGGTCTCTGGAACCTCATTCTGTTGGATTGATTATTCTTTTTTCTTATATCAAGGTTTTAATACCACATTGAATTATTTAAGCAACTTATGGCCGGGAGTCTGGTAGTGATCTTTATCTTCATTGAATTACTTTATTGTTATCTACACTACCATTGTTTTCTGAATTTTAGTAACTTGGTGACATGAGCATGTATCATATTTGTAGGAGATATGTGCCATATACAGTGATCTGATTAGTGTCACCTAAGCTGTGTTTCACGTCAACAATGATATAGGAACTAGCCTGGTGCATGTGAAACTTGTCTTAGTCTGAATCCTTATTTTCATTGCTGTCAGAGCCGTCCTGGCATAAATCAGGGCCTGTGCCAAACTCTAAAGTGACCCTTGCTAAATAGAACAATAAACGTATGATTTCAGATGACTTGTCATTATATTTTATAATAAACCTATCTTATGTCTCCTTTTTTAGATTTGAGTTAGATCCTTTCTTCTTTTTTTCTATTTAAGTCTTTTGGTAACCAGAATCATATCAACGTCTTTATCAATTGGTGCACAGGTACACAAAAGATGAAAAATAAGAAAATTACGAGATATACGACAAACCACAAACAAGCTTGTTCACTGATCTCTATAGTTCATCTGTCATCTGAAGCATTTGTAGAAGAAAAATATTTAAAGAAGAAACTACATGACTCCTAAATTGCTGAGTTGTTGCCTGTGCCGGTATGCACTTATTTTGCTTGTCGCTAAGCAAGGTCTGAACCCTGCAGCCTTGCAGATCAGGCTGCGCGGCGGCTGGCTTCTGGCAGGCATGCTCCACTGCTGCAGCACACTGGCACTGCCTGTTGGTGCTTGGCCCTTCCGCATGTGATGAACAACAGAACAAACGCCTCTCTGATCGTCCGAGACGGCTGGACGGGATATGAACAGACACTAGCCACGAGCAAACGGAATGCTGCATTTGCGTTGGTCGGTCAAACACAGTAATTTGGCCATGGAATATAGCGGGTCACTGGTGCGACATTGCATGTAGGGGCCCTCAATTTGGGTCGCACCGGCCTCACACTCCTAGGGACGGGCCTGATTGCTGTATAAGTAGAGTTTAAGAGAGTAGCTGGTGGTTGATTTATGGTTGATACTAGTGAGGTGGTCTGAGCTTTATGAGCAGATCGTATGTGTTGGGTATGCAAACATGTACATTCCTATTGATGCCATTTTTGTGGTGCTACACTGTAAGAACACTAGCTTAAGATGGTTAGCTATGCCTGTCTCCAATTTAAGTTAGGTTGTGTTGTCCATCAATTTTGCAAAGTGCTTATTGGGGGCCTAGTACATAGATTGATTCTACCTTTTCACGGACATGAAATTTTGGACTTGAGGTTTTCTCTTTGCAATAGCATTATGGTAGAGGCATGCAGAATATTTTAAGTTAGCTGTGCTATATTTTAACTTTCCAACAGTGATGCTGATTTTGATTCTTAGCTCATTTCTGGTTTGTGGCCGGTAGCTTTTTGTGAACAACTGCATTTATTTATATTTGACGCTGAGTGCAATGACTTTTGAGTCGAGAGAGTGTGCGCTGTTCCTTTGATTGTTCTCAAGTGCTCCTTGGTAGCTTAGTGTATGCTAGCTCGTTTAGGTATATATGAACCTTATTGTTGTTTCAAAATAGTATCTGTTTGCGGTGCTGCAGCAATAGACCATGTAACGACCATGGTGCTACCACTACAGTAGGTTATTTTTCTATAGCACAACAGTGAGCGGACGAACAATGCACCGGCTGAACGGAGGATGAAGACACCGGCGGGAAGAGTGGATAGTGGTTGGGTTAAAAGTTAAAACATTGGATTATCACTAACCCTACCCCTAATCCATGGCTTTGATACCATGTTACTAATCTCAAAGATTTCAGAAGACAATGACTCCATTAGTGGAGATGACATTATATAGAGAGCCTCATGGGCCATATGGGCTTAGAATGGGCCTTGATACGTACTTAACATAGATATATTGGAAGCTATAACTCTTTCTGTGGCCTGGTATGTTTTGGTTTCTAAATATATCTGTTTGCCCATAAGATATTCCATCGGGAAATAAGGATGGCCAGTTGCAATGGGTTTTAGGCTTGAATTGATTGAATAAATGCATGATACCTAGGGGTGAAAATGGAAAACTTGCATTGGCAATATGATGCTTTATGAAACCTACAGTAGTGTTGCCTACAGATTTAGGCTTTATGAACTATGAGGATACTGTTATTTTGTCCAATGGTGCTACAATATTCTTCTTCCTTTGCGACCACTACCACTGTTAGAGCTGTATTTAAACATCTGCTGTGTGATTTTTTTTTCCTTGTGTGTGATTATCTATGGGTATCCTCTCCAGCAAATGCAGATCTTTTGTAACTTTCTTTATTGTAAATTGTTGAGTTTTTCTTTCTCTGTGTTTATGTGAATGATCTGAAACTCTGAAGTGTACTCCCTCTGTTTCAAATTGTAAGTCATTTTGGCTTTTCTAGATTCATAGTTTTTATTATGTATCTAGACATAGTGTATATCTAGATGCACATCAAAAGCTATGTATATCTAGAAAAGCCAAAACGAATTACAATTTGGAACGGAGGGAGTAGATAGGAAGTCAGATGCACAGTTTCTTACAGTGTTTATTTTCATGTACATTAGGTAAAGTCTTTGATTGAGGATGCAAAGACTGGTGCCGTGCTTAATGTTGCTGGAAGCTCGGCTAGCACAAATGCTGCTTCAAGTGGTTCTCTACCGTCGATGTTTCCTGCTGGTAGTGCTCCACCACTTTCTCCTAGGAGCACTTCTGGTTCCCCCCGTGTTATGAGACGAGGATCTGGAGCTGGACCATCGTCCTTGGGTTCTCCATTAAAATTAGTTAGTGAACCAGTGAGAGAAGTTATACCTCAGGTACTTCACACCTGTCCTTGTAACTATTATTGTAGTTTTTGTTGCTACATTGTTTAAGCACAAAATTTTCCTGGACCAATATGTTTTATAGTTTTACTTCAAGAATGGGCATCCTCCTACAAAAGATTTGAAGGAGCAGTGCTTATCAAGAACAGATCACCTATTTTTTGGTGGGGAGGGACTTCAGATTCAAGGTGAATACGGCTTCACAGCTTATTTTCTGTCATTGCAATGACTTCTGAAGCTTATATACTTTTACTTGTCCATACCAGAATTCAGATCGGTCACAAAGGACATATGTAAACTTCCTTCATTCTTCTCTAGTGTCCTTTTCAAGAAAATTGATGTTGCATGCACCGGAACTGTCTCAAGGTATGATGTTCGACATCTGAACCCAAGGTCTATGGTGACGCCCATGTAATGATGTAAAGATCCAATTGAGGAACTATAGTTACTTTTAGATGTCAGGCTAGTGTCTCCTTATCCTATTTCAGTTTGTTCTTTATTCTTTGGGGTGTTGGTTTCTTCTGCGTCCTCGTTGAAGCTTGTAAACATGCTAAATGCTAGTTCTACTTGATTACGGTCATATGTGTTTATGCCTTTTACCTCCTTTGTCACTTAGACAAACATTAATCTTTGCTTTTGCCACAACTTATCATTGGTTTTCAGCACTTTAGTTGGATATCACATGTTGACCATTCGTTTTTAAGCCATCACATGATTCTTTAATCGAATGTGGCAGTTCAACTACTATAAGGACCATTAAGATAATAGGGCGTACCCAGTGCAGAGAGCTCCCGCTCTGTGCGGGGTCTGGGGAAGGGTGTTAGTGACAAGCCTTACCCTCGCTTGTGCAATGCGAGAAGACCGCGACTCGAACCCGGGACCTTCCGGTCACAGGCGGTAAGACTCTACCGCTTGCACCAGGCCCGCCCTTCACCATTAAGATAATAATGAGGAAAAAAAACAACCACCAAAATCTAAGGAGTTTTTGTTTTTGTTTTGACCTAAGTCAAACTTCGCTTTGCCCAAGTTTATAGAAAAATGCACCAACATCAACAACATCAAATTAGTTTCATCAAGTCCACCATGATAGCGCATTTATTTGGTATAGTAGATGCTAAACCCCTCTTATTCCAAATGTTGTTTAAGACTTGTGCACAAGGATTAAGAAAGTAGGTCAAATGACCTTGTTGCCCTTCATTATTCTGCATTGGGAAAGAGGGCTCATTCATCTGTGAGAGTATTGGCATTTATTAAGTAGGGAAGAAAAGGGTAAAAGATGCATATATAAGTTCTAGGTTGACTTGCATTTTGAGAATAGTTGAGAGGGCTAAAAGAACCTACATTTGTAGTTTTTTCTTTTGGGGGTGGGTGGTAATATATTTTCCATAAATTTCTCGAAGTTAGAGAATTTTGACTCGACAAAATTAAAAAACCTGACATTTTGGAATGGAGGGAGTATACATTTTGGTCAGTTAGTTTTGTCTTGTTCATGCAAGTGCTTACAGTTTTAGTGGTGTATCATGCTTGGCTAGTACCTGGACTACTGGGCATGACATTTCAAGGCTAAGTGATACTCCATCACACAAATGGCTTCAACCTTTTGGTTGAAAGCTGCATCCATATGTATATTCCTCTTCAAAGGAATTATATAGGTTACTGGTTAGTAGTTACAAGGTCTAGCAAAGTTGCCATTGCAAAAACGTTGATACATGCAAAAGTGGTTTCTGTTATCCTGCTTCCTCCTTGAATCACTGATGCTAGCTTTTTTTTTTATTTTGTTCATACCTGTAATGCTAGATCGTACCTTAGCCACTGGTTTGGAACCTGATTTGCTGAATTTGTTCATTAAGAGAAGTGTTGCAGCTTCTAGCTTGCCTTTCCCCTACTAGTGTGTCAGATCATGTAACATGCTCTATAGCTTTGATGGTAAAATTTGGCGTCACTCAACTTCTGCTTTGTTTCATAAGTTTCTCAATTATTAGTTGGGAATGCGATTTATGTTTAGTAATGTTTTCTTTACTATGTTTGAACAATTAGGGAAACAAATGCGTCAATTAACCCAATGACGCACACTACTTCATTTGGTCTGTAAATCCTAGAAAAAAAGAAAAAACAAAACACTATTAGGTGGAGGTAGAGTTCAGTGTGGAAGAGTGGGTTTTGGGTTGACCTGCCTTTCATCAAACTTGCATCTCTACATGTGATAAATTGTACTAGTGATTCGATGTAAAATGGCAGTCTGTTTCACCAACACTGATTATTCTGAAGAAAGATTTAAGTATGGTAGTCTAACTCTATCTAAACACAGGGATGCATTTGTGGAGTACTGGATCAATGACAATAAGATTACAATGGATATGGCTAGTCAAATATTTGAAATATTAAGAAAGCCGGGTTACACATATCTCACTCAGGTCAGCTATTTTCTTCCGAATGTTCTCAGTGCTAACACGGGCATAGATGAATCTAGGAGAGATTTTATTTCTTCCATTCTGTGTGACTAATTTATACTGATGGGGGGAAAATACATTCGAATGTACAGGATGACTTCAAGCCTGTCCTGAAAGAACTACTGGCAACTCACCCTGGCTTAGAGTTTTTACAAGGGACCCCCGAATTTCAGGAGAGATATGGTAGTTCCTGCTATCCAAAGTCCAAGTGAATTAGCAGACTTGAGAATTAATTCTTCACTCCAATTTGTACTTCATAGATGTGCTTTTCCATGCTTTTTTATTCTTCTATTCCTTGAGAAATGCACATATGAATGGCAAGCCCTTTACTTGGTGGTAGAGCAGCATCCTTACAGTGTTAGGTGTTTACAGCCGATCGGTCTTTTGCTAGACATATTTGAAATATGATTTTGTGGACTCTTATATGTTTTTCCAGTAAGCTTGTCTGTCACATAGACATGGACACATAATATGATACCTTTTCATTTAAAGTAGTTCTAGTGTAGCCGGACAGCCTTGTCTTTCACTTCGTGGTTCTTGCCATAGGAATTTATGGGCAATGATGGCACCCTGATTTGAATTCTTTCCCTTAGCTATTGGAAAATGCTGGTAGGCAACAAGTGTTGGTTGCATGAAGTCTGGAGCATTACCAACCATCACTAAAACTAACTCAACTATCCATTTTGTTTTTAAGATCAGATTTGCTGAATGTTTTGGACTGTTGCTAATGTTTGCTGTGTCACATTCATTATTTCTTGTTGTTTTCTTCAGCGGAGACTGTAATATATAGAATCTTTTACTCCATAAATAGATCTGGGAATGGCCATCTGACTCTGAGAGAGCTCAAACGTGGAAATTTAATTGCTGCACTTCAGCAGTTAGATGAGGAGGAAGATATCAACAAAGTGTTGAGGTAATTATATATGACATCCTAACAGATCGCCACTGTCTATTCATTGTGCATCACCATATGAGTTATGAGCAGAACTGAGGTTTTTATCACACTATTTATCATGATGCAGTTGCGTACATGCATTTTTTACTCCCTCTGTTCGAAATTGTAAGTCGTTTTGGCTTTCTTCAATACATAGTTTTTACTATGCATCTAGACATTGCGCATATGTTTTTGTGCATAGCAAAAGCTATGTACCTAGGAAAGCCAAAACAACCTACAGTTTGGAACGGAGGGAGTACCTGTCCTCTGCTTCCATTTGTTTTTGTGTGGATTACATTTGTTCACTGTGTTTTCTTTATATAGTCTTAACAGTATCCTTTGTATAATGTTTCCCAAGTTGATAATCTTGGCTCATGATTTGATGCAGATACTTCTCATATGAGCACTTTTATGTGATCTACTGTAAATTCTGGGAGCTGGATACAGATCACGATTTTTTGATTGATAAGGAAAATCTCATCAGATATGGAAATCATTCGTTGACCTATAGAATAGTTGATAGAATTTTCACACAGGTTAGTCTATTCCATTTTGGCATTCAAACCTTAGCCCTTTATTACCAAAATGTTGTGCTTTGTGTCCTTATATTGGCTCTTTTACTGTTATTAGATCCCAAGGAAATTCACAAGCATGTCAGAAGGAAAGATGGGTTATGAAGACTTTGTTTACTTTATATTATCAGAGGAAGACAAATCATCTGAGCCTAGCCTTGAATACTGGTAAGTTGTAGCTGTGTTCTGAATAGTAGTATTTTTTTGTAGAACTGTTCCTTTTGTCTTAATGTGATAAGATGATTCCACCTTACAATTTATAATCTTAGGGTGTGTTTGGTTTGAGGAATGAGTTGATCCATTATCATGTCACTCCTTACTTTTTTGTTTGGTTTGTGTAATAGAATGGTTGATCCATCACCACCTCATTCCTCACAAACTAATAATTAGTATATGCATGAGGAATGGGTTGATTCCACCAAAGTTCATGGGATGAACTCATGATGCACCAACTCATGTAGTATGAGGTGGTTCCTCAAACCAAACCCATTTAGACTTTGTATCATTGCTAGAGTTTAAGGTGCTGTTTGGTTGGACTGATTTGGCGTGGGGTCCGATCACAGTGTCAACGAATCACGCTAGGTTGTGTTTGCTTGTGATGTGCTGGTATCAGGTGCCCTGCAAACGAATACTGGCTTAGTAGAATCATGACTACGCTCCCCATCCAGCGGGATCAGATAATGCTACGGATGTGGAGTGAACCAAACAAATCATGTAATCTCTTGTTCCATTTCGGATACTGCTGCAGCTTGATTCCTTTACGTTTGCATTACCTTTCCTACAACCAAACAGCACCTAAGATGAGTAGCAAGTGTATCGCATTGATCAATGTGCATTTAGGTAGGGGTAGACATGGAAGAATGAAGCAAAAAGGTGCATCAGAGTTATCATGGACTTATATTTGTTGCATGATGCATTTGAGAGATGGCTGAATGGACATATATATTTGGTATTGGAGGGAAACAACTTTCTATCTTTGCTGTGCACATTGTATAACTCAGGTTATAGTTGTAATTTTATTGAAATATTTGTAATTGTTTGTTATTGAAATATGGGAAACAACTTTCACAGGTTTAAGTGCATCGATCTTGATGGTAATGGTATTTTAACTTCCAATGAAATGCAATTTTTCTATGAGGAGCAATTGCACCGAATGGAGTGCATGGCACAGGAGCCTGTGCTTTTTGAGGACATATTATGCCAGATGATTGATATGATTGGACCAGAGGTAGATTCTCATACATATTCCGCAAACATTTTATCTGGGCTTGATAAATATTTTCCTTTCTACAGAATGAGAGCTATTTCACTCTACGGGACTTAAAACGGTGTAAACTCTCAGGAAATATATTCAATATTCTTTTCAATCTCAACAAGTTCATGGCGTTTGAAACTCGTGATCCATTCCTCATTCGCCAGGTGATTATAACCCTTAATAAACTTAAGATTTGCTGCCAAGTATTAAGTTAATTAAGTTAAATAATTGGATAATGTTTAATTGTAGGAACGTGAAAATCCAACTCTAACTGAGTGGGATCGGTTTGCGCATAGAGAATATATTAGATTGTCCATGGAAGAAGATGGTGAGGATGCTTCAAATGGAAGTGGTGATGTGTGGGATGAATCACTTGAGGCTCCATTCTGAATGGTGTAAGTGTTTACTAAATATTGTCCAATGGATCTAGTAACACAACAAGATAAGATAGCTAAATTAGTTTTGTAAGCTACACCATGAAATGATATAAACACCATGAAATTTTGCAGAGTATAGAGGACAGCATTATTTCTTTTGTGTAATGGGCATATATCTTTTGTGCAATGGAGGCAATATTGCATCTTACTTCCTCTTGCAATTAAACCCCGACCTGTTCTGCTGTTCATGTCTTCTGTACAACCTTAGACTTCACAATTATAGGGTTAGACCAGAAATAGCATGGAGTTTTGGGGGTTTAAAACCAGAACTGTCACCCAATGGTTTGCTGGTCGAATACAAATCTGAGATATTTTTTAAAGTATAAATATACTTGTGGTCATGTTCCTACTAGTTTTTTTATTATATTTTTTTGAATTTTCTGTTTACAGGTCTTGCTGCATGAATTTGGTTGGACATGGATGATTATGGTTGTGAAGCGGAAGAATTGTAAAGTTGGTGGCTACCCTGTGGAGGCTATTGTAGACTCAGCAGATTCAGTAACACCAAAGACTACTTATAAGTTTTACTGTGCAGATCTGATTCGATATTTGTCAGTTATCCTGTTGTGCAAACATTTTTGCTTGGCTGGAAAATTGGGGAGGGAGGTTGGTGGGCGCCCTGCAGTTTCAAGGCAACAACCTCAGCAGTCACAAATGATACTATAGTGAAGGACCCTTCCTGGTCGACTAGATCCATTTGTGTTCTGATTGATCCTTAGGGGGATATCTGTTAATTCAATTGTTGTGCGCAAATTTTGGAGCTGAACTGTTAATGTTTGGCTGCCATTTTCTTTGTTAATCTTGGAAGCGTGGGCTAGCAATTCCATCACAACTAAGATCGTGGCATGTAGCTTTCAGGTTCTGCTTTCTCATCAGCTTGTAGTTCCTGGTTTGTTGCCGTTCTTGTTCTTGGGAGGAATGATCCGAGACCTTGGAGCATGGATACTGTTGTCATTTTGTAACATTGCCGATAATCTGTGGATTGTGGGTGCATAGTAACACAAAGGTAGATAACATTGGCAATCCAATTTTTGTTAAGGTGTAAATTCAGAGAATGTTTTAGGTTGCAAATACTATTCCTTAGGTTCGTTCTCATCCTTTAAAGTGCTTTGCCTATTGAGCTACTTATGTCGTGATGCGCTGAAACTTCATATGTGCATTCTTGCTCTCTTTTCCTTTTAAAGATAATGTTTTCTTGGCTATATTTTTCATTTGTTGGCTCAGTTTTGTCAATAATTTTGCGCCCCTCCCCTCACTCCCTCCATACGCACACAGTAACATTTGCACTTGCGAAGGAACGACACTTAATGGAGTGTTTGGTTTAGAAAATCAACCCATTCTAGATGGAGTGCATTATGAGTCTTGCTCAAATTTAGGAAAAATAATTTTATTTCAACCCATTCTAGATGGAGTGTGCATTATGAGTCTTACTCAAATTTAGGAAAAATAATTTGATTTCTCATATTAGTATCAATTACTAGCTTACGTGCTTACGCGGAATGTGATCTTTCAAGCCAAACAAAGCTAAAAAGTGGGATGATAATGGACTACTTCATATCACCAACCAAACACTCCCTAAACCAGACACCAATTGCCTACCAGCATTTTCCAACAGTCTTTAGGGTTGTTTGGACTTGTTAAATATATTTTCCAACAGTCTTTATTATATCGCTCTGAATTTAATGTTTTTAGTCTTTTTTCAGAGCGATATAATAAAGATACAGAATTTAATGTTTCACGTGTACAACATATTATTCTTCAAATGGTATGAGATGATTCGATGCTGGTACCTTGCTGTCGTTCTTTTCGCATCAAAGAGCAGTTGGAGTCGTGAGTAAAACATAGAGAAAACAAAACGCTACGTCATTCATTAGTCTATTCCGTGGCTTCCATGCCAATGAATTAGCGATCACAAGTGTAAAGAATATTTTCACCAAAATAAGTAAACTGGACAGGATGCTGCCTAAACTTGTAGAACTGCCTAGATGGCATGCAAGGGCCATCACAGGAATGCTTTGACGATGAATTGTCCAGGAAATAAGGAAAATGCGTTTGATTGCTGTACATGCACTTTTTCCATTCCGTCTTCTGGAGCAATTTAATCTAAATTTATCTTCTATAGAGAACATACACAGTTACACACTGAATAGCAGTTCGTATCGAACAGATCACTTGCACTTGAGGACAGTGACACACAGGTTATCAGAAATTGTAATATACAATTCAGGAACCAAATGCTGCTGCATGTTTTGCGAAGTAATCAAAGCTCATATGGGGGAAGAAAAAGCATCCATGATCTATAAGAGCATCTCCAAGAGTACCCCAAATTTGTTTCCCATCCATGTTTTTTTTTGCCAACTCCCAATAACTTGATGGACTGGGACAGAACCAACATGTCTTCCTTTAGCATTCGAATATGTTTGCACAATTTGAGCAGCTGAGAAGATCAAATAATCATCGTCGTCTGAAGATGAATCATCCAATTCTCTTTGAAGAAGTGATTTCGTCATGACGTCTACCCTGCCTGAGAATTCACTATGTAAACACTAATATGAATCTCATTCAACAATTGATCATCAAGGCATAAACACATCTACGGCCAATCTCAAGCCAAAATATACTGCGTGCGAATACTAGTAGTATACGTTCACATACCTGGCTGCCAAAGGCTACGAGAGGGAGCTGAAGGCTGGTGAGGGCGGGTGCCTGGCTGCCAAAGGCTGGCACTGCCGGCTAGGAGAGGGACCTGCATGCTGGAGGGGTCGGGTCCCTGGCTGCCGCCGGCTGGGAACCGCATGCGACGGACACGACGTCCAAAACGGCGGCGGCGCGAAAGGTTTCGCGGTGCCGCGAAAGAGATCGCGCCAGAAAAAAAAAGCCACAAAAAAAACCCATTGTGGGTCCACAATTTTGATGTTTTGGAAGTCAAATATGGGGTACTCTTGGAGATGGTCTCTTGTTTTCCTCCCCATACTACTTTGGGAGTTGGCAAAAAAAAACATGGATGGGAAACAAAATTTGGGGTACTCTTGGAGATGCTCTAACACTATAAATGATGACCATAAAAGGACATGTTGTAGCAAGATGATCTTAGAAAAAATGGCGGCCTAAAACATGAACCTGTGTTGTTCTGTCTCCTAGGGAGGTTGCGTCAGTTTCAAAACTGAGTCATGCCATGGCAGCAACCAGCATAAAAAGAGGCATCGGCACTATGTGTCGAGTTGGTTGGGAAGGAATTAGCACCACATCTTTGTGATTTATCCACAGGAATGCCTGCATAAAGTGAAATTCAACAATCTAAGTTGTAAACTGACTGAACAACTTAACAGGTTGTGTGTATCCAAATTCCTGGTTTTAACAGATATGTAATTCAACTATGAGAATGACATGTTAAACTGTAAGGACTAACATATCATGAGATTTCAATAGTCAATCCAGGCCCAGTACAATGCCCGCTAAAGGGAAATTCAGCAATTCGAGTTGTAAACTGACAGTGAACAATTTAACAGCCTGTGTGTATCCGAATTCCTGTTTTTAACAGATACTTAATTCAACTATGAGAATGACGACGTAAACTGTAAGCACTAACATACCATGAGATTTTTAATAGTCAATGCAGGCTATCCACAAAGAGCAGAGGCTGCCATTTTTGTGCTGAAACAAAGGAAAAAATGCATACATCACTTTAGCCTCGAAGGCCAACAGGTTAAACAGCATGAAGGCGCTAATTAATTTGTGAGAAAAGGAAAAGGAGGAGGGGACATGGTGCTTATTGAAGCATTACATAATGTAGTTACCTTGTAAACTGACAGAGAACAATTTGGCAACCTGTGTGTTTTTTAATTCTTATTTTTAACAGATATGTAATTCAACTATGAGAATAACAACGTAAATTGTAAGGACTACCATACCATGAGATTTTAATAGTCAATCCAGGCTATCCACAAAGAGCAGAGGCTGCCTTTTTTTGTGCTGAAACAAAGAAAAAAAAATAATACATCACTTTAGCCTTGAAGGGCAACAGGTCAAACAGCACGAAGACACTAATTAATTTGTGGGAAAAGGAAAAGGAGGGGACATGGAGCATATTGAAGTCCCCGCAGCATGTCAATATGACGGCCACCTTGAGGTTAGTTCTGAACATCGGAAAAACTGCAGCTGTGCTTTGCAGTCATAACACACTGCATTGTGTATGTAAATTAAAAAATAATAATCCATGTACTGTATCCATGGATGGATAAATTCAATATGCAAACTTATTTGATATATAAATATTTGTATCTTGGGAGCAGCACAAGTGTACCTGAGCATCACTATCTGCCTTTTTTCTCCTCTTCACGTTAGTAGGCCTCAGGCTGCACGACATCCGCAGGCTTCATCGGCCTGACGCACCAGGGAGGTGGAGGGTGAGGGAGACGACCCAGATCGGAGTTGTGAAGCGAGTCGTTGGCCTAGCCGACGGCCGAAGATGAAGACGGCAATGCAATAGGAACAGGCATGAGGACTGAAACCCTAGGTGAGGAACCAAATCACTGGAGTATTGGAAAAATTAGAGAGAGAGAGGGAGAGGAAGGCGCAACCTCGGAGGTGTCTCTGTCGGGTAGAGGCATGGACAGGAAGACGCTAAGGTGGAGGAGGCCAGCGGAGGCTTCGAAAGGCGAGGGGAGGTCCGCTACAGGCGCCGCGGGGGCGCGCGCACCTTGCGCTGCGGCGACCTTGGTGGGAGGAGCGCCGACGGCGGCCAGCAGCGCGTCACTGGAAGGGCTGCGCCGGAGGAAGGGCAATGACGGAGGCAGGGACGCGGGAGGAAGAAGACGTACGGAAGAAGGTGGCGACCTCGGAGGAGAAGGGGCGCGACCGGCCGTGCGTCCGTGGGGGGTGTTGGGGCGCCAGAAGCTGGGGCGGTGGCCTGGGTCGGAGAGGCCGATGGTGCAGACGGTGAAGCTTCTCGAGGGAGCGAGACAACGGATGAGGAGAGAGGGAGGAAGTATATATTTTGTGGAGATGGCTCTAAATAATCTAGGCTCTTAGATTGGAGTTTGGACGGCTTGGGTTTGCCGATGACGTGGACGCGCGAGGGGCAGATTCTGGTATGCAGTAATAAGGATCTACTATGGGAGATAATAAGGGCGTGTTTGCTAGGGCGGGCTGAGAGGCCGATGGTGCGATGCGCCACAGTGAAAAGTTAGGAGCAGACCGGATGAGGAGAGAGGAGGAAGTATATATTTTGTGGAAGGCTCTTAGATTGGAGCTGGCTTGGGTTTGCCGATGACGTGGACCCTGGTTGCTCTGGTATGCATAATAAGGATCTACTATGGGAGATAATAAAGGCGTGTTTGCTTCTACGCCGCCGCCACAATTTCAACTAAAGTTAGGCAGCCACGCACAAAAGTCTTTGCTGGTTGCTTTCATGGCGTGTGCGGCTGCCACAATTTCTATCGTGTACTGTTTCATGGCGGGTGTGGCGGCCAAAATGCTCGCCACAAAGTGTGGCGCGGGCTCAGCTGCGGTGGCAGGCTGCGGCCGGCTACCAAACAGCCCCTTATAAGATCGGGGAGAGGGTCGTCGACCCTGTTGGCTGTCCATCGACTCTCCACCCTTAATTCGTGAGCTTCTTCTCACTGGTCGCAACTCTCTACACGGAAGTAGATATAAAGCACATTACA